ACAACCGAAAAAATATTTTTAACCGACTTCAAAAAGAAACTGCCTCGTTTGCCGAGTGGTCGTAAATGCTACTGCCGGGCAAGGGGTCTCGGGTTCGATTCCCGGGTCGGGCAAAGTATTACTGGGTTTTATTAATATTTTCTGTAGTAGACTCCGTCTGAAATTGTGCTCGGTATATGGCAATAGGCTCACCCCCTATTACATGGGACTCATAACATAAATAGTGAAAAGTGGGTGTTACATTGTACAGTGCCCCCCCTTCGGGGATAAAAGGCGTGATGTTATGTTAAGTTATGTTCAAAAAGAAAAAAAATACGGTCGTTTATATTTATATGTAAGTATGTTTGTGTACGATTATCTGAACTGATTTTGATTCGGTTTTCAGAAACGTGTTTGTAATACTTAGGAGTTAGTTTTAGTATCAAAAAAGAGGATATTGAAGTTGCACGTAGCTTGTAGTATGTAGCTCGTACCGTGTAGTTCGTAGCGGGTAGGTCGTAGCACATATTGAGCAGCGCGTAGTTTGTAGCGCATTGTTCGTTGCGTGTACGTCGTAGCGCATAGTTCCATAGTGCGTAGCTCGTACCGTGTAGTTCGTAGCGGGTAGGTCGCAGCGCATATTGAGTAGCGCGTAATTTGTAGCGCATTGTTCGTTGCGTGTACGTCGTAGCGCATAGTTTCATAGTGCGTAGCTCGTACCGCGTAGTTCGTACTGTACAGTTCGTAGCGCGTAGGTCGTAGCCCATAGTATGTAGCACGTAGTTTGTAGGGCATTGTTAATTGCGTGTAGGTCATGTAGAGTAGTTCATAGTACGTAGCTTGTACCGCGTAGTTCGTACTGTAAAGTTCGTGGCGCGTAGTTCGTAGCCCATAGTATGTAGTCGTTGCGCGTGGTTCGTAGTTTGTAGCACATTGTTCGTTCCGTGTAGGTCGTAGTGCGTAGTATGTAGAACGTAGAGCGTAGTTCGTAACGCGTAATTTCGTGATTCGTGACACGAACACGTGGTTCATAAATCATGGCAATAGCGTAGCTTATTAGTCTTTACATGTATAAAAATTGTTTTTATTAACTATTTTCCAAATTAGAAAGGTATATCGCTGTGTAGAGTACTTTTTTCCGTTAACAGATATTGTTTTATTATATAGATCTCTACCTGTCCTTCAATCATAATAGGCGTGATTGTATCTTACGTAATGTTTAGAAATAATGAGTAATTATATTATTGTTGATAAATACTGATAATAAATCATAATGAGAAATCTATATTTATAAAACAAAAGTCATGTTAGGTACACTGTTTAAGTGCTTATAATTCAAGAATGGATGGACAGATATTCATAATATTTCCGTTTTTGAAAATGTATTCGGTTTCTGCGTATTTGTAGCCGGACTGGCTATTTATTTTGTTGGCTGTCGCTTTAATTATGTTAGTCGTTATTTTGCCAATTAACGCGTAAATGTCCGATTATGAAAAATCCACAACATTAATTGTTCATACAAAAGTAGTCTTTAAACATCGAAAATAAGGTTTGTAATGGTGTAAGTGGAGAGTGGTCACCGGTGACCGCTTGAATCTTGACCATTTTACATAAGGTATATTAAGCTTTACATTGATTCAACTGTATATTATATCAACAGCCTATAGGTTAACTGCGAGCTGGACACTATCCCACAAAAAGTTTCGCATTCCTTATGAAAAAAAACTCATCTAACTGTGAAGTATGTGGCAAGTTAGATGATGTTTATCAATATGCCGGTAGAGTGTGTTAAATTTAACGTGGCGAGGGACTCATTGATGCGACATTTTAATATAAAAAAATATGATTTGGGATCTTTTTCTAGTATTTTGTCAGAACCTTTAAGCAATGCAGCACGATCTATTGTAAGGATGTTGCAACAGTGATGACCCGCCGGTATTTGATACTTCTAATTATTTTTTAGTTAAATTAAAATGTTTTAGATAGATAAGTTTGGGCTACGATGGGGCTGCCGTAGCCTATTGGTTAAAAGCCCCTAAAATAAAATAGATAATAAAAAAAGCCTATAAGTGTCCACTGCTGACCAAAGCCCTCTTCTCACAGGGAGAAGGTTTGAGTATTGATCACCTCATTTGATGCGGGTTAGCGATTTCAAACTTACAATTAGAAACTATAAGCCTAGGTTTCCTCACTATGTTTCCCTTACCGTTTGTCAGTGGTGTCTAGATAATCTTAGAAAGTACATATATATAAGTCGGAAAAGTTATAAAATATCATAACTGGTGATAGGTGGGTATTATATTGTAATTTACACCTCTGTCTACTCCTCCGTGGATTAAAACTAACTGAATTGCCATAATATATTATTTAATTGTACACTAAACGAATTCAGACGAGCCTGTTACTGTACCTGTACCCATCTGTGACTTAGCTTAAAGAATTCTTTTTTAAGGGTGGGGAAATCATCGAATGGCTGCTCCCGCCTGGGTGAGGCGGGAGGGAGTGTCAGACTCTTACTGACTAAAAACCACCCGGTTCCTTCTCCTGCACGTCGAGCAGGAGCCCCGGTAACCCGTTAGGTTATCCGCGACTAGCTTAAGGAATATGATTGTTACCCTAATAGATAATAAATGTTGTAGCATCTAATTAACATAGCATAACATCACGCCTCTTATCCCCGACGGGGTAGGCAGAGGTGCACATTACGGCACTTAATGCCACTGTACAATGTAACACCCACTTTTCACTATTTATGTTATGAGTGCCATGTAATAGGGGGTGAGCCTATTGTCATATACGCGCACGCGTTGCAATTTTTTAAAAACCCAGTAATATTTTACACAACCCGGGAATCGAACCCGAGACCCTTTGTCCAGCAGTCGCACTTGCGACCACTCGACCAACGAGGCAGTAGTACCTAATTGTAATATGGATACTTTGTAATTTAATTCCAATTGGCATACGCTATCGCATTAGGTCATAGCTCCTGTAATGATAGTATTACATAATAAATAAATAAATAAATAAACGTAACTAATATAACTTCACGCCTTTTATCCCCGTAGGGGTAGGCAGAGGGCACATTACGGCACTTAATGCCACTGTACAATGTAACACACACATTTCACGAGGCGCCCTTAAAATACACATAGCAATAATACGCAAATGTACATACATTTACTTTTAAATATTTTACATAGTTATGAACAGTGTACTCGTCCTCATGAGCAGCGTGCTCGACATTAGAAGAGGCCATCTATGACTCGAAACTAGTAGAGCTTTTCTCAGTATATTTACGTGATTAACTCGTAATTTTTAGTTAAAAGCAAACTTTGTACCTACCGGCTAATTCTTTTTTCGCACCTTATAAACCTTCCCTGGACTTCCACGAACATTTTAAGATTAAAATTAGCCAATTCGGTTCATCCGTTTTCGAGTTTTTGTGAGAGTAACGAACGGAAATTGATAAGAACAATAGGTTGCGGTCACCGGTGTCCTCGCAGTGTTTGACAAAAATCTTCAAAATATTTGTATTGTAACTTTCGTGAGACATACTAAATAAATTATTATGTTTTCGGCTTATTCACGTAGTAATTTGACGAGGAACTCGACTAGTTTCAAGCCATGCTAGAGGCTCATATTCATGAGCAGCATTTCGCGACCCGCGACGCGGCGACTGTCGCGCTGCTACTGCCTACTAGTCGAGTTCCTCGTCAAATTACTACGTGAGTAAGTCGAAAACATAATAATTTATCTTCAAAATACTTACACAATTATCCTTAAAATCATTGTTGATTCACAAGACACACCGCAATTTGTTCTCACTGCGTCACATCATCACAGTTACACACTCTCAAAAGCGCACATCACATTTTTCACCACCAAAACACATGTTTAATCCCACACCGTAACTTATACACTTACAATTCCTTTATAATATTATTGTAATAATAATTTATTTTGTGGAGTTATTGTATTTTTGCACGGGTTTTCTATCTTTGAATAACGTTATCTGAGTAAATGCTGATATATTTGTATCTAATCTCGATCGGTCAAAGACAAGGCTTGTAGCCATTTTGAATTTCCGCGTCAAACGTGAATAATTGTGACGTCACTTGTATTGAAGTACACGATTGCAAGGTAGTGTGTTCCATGCTTATGTTAAGCTAAAACTATGTGGTTGTCTGTGGTGGTTTCGATTTTATAGTACATTGTGATTAGATACTGAATAACAGAACAGATAATATTTGTATTTATATTTGAATCCTACCAATATAGGATAATACATAAAGTATTGTTTAAGGGGGAAAAACATCGAATTTCTGCTCCCGGCGGGTGAGGCAGAAGGGAGTATCAGACTCTTACTGACGACAACCCACCCCATTCCTACTCCTGCCTTTCGAGCCGGCCGGTAACCCGTTAAGTCCTCCGCGGCTCCGTATCGGCATCAGCCCTGTTGGTCCCCATCCGTGGTGGTCTGATGTATCTTTGAGGCGCGCGCGGAACGCGACGCCCCGTACGCTCGGGTCTGGTTCTGGTTGGGCGGCGAGCCATCCATGCTCGCCGTCCGCAGGCCCGCGCTTACGGTGTGGCTGGAGATCGTCCCGCGATCCCCGACGCCCGGAGTGTCCTTTGCGATGGCTGGGTTGTGAGGAAGCAGCGCTTCTCTGCCTCACGCGCCCTGCCTCCTCCTTAGCTAGCATGACTGCTTCGCAAAAGGAGGAGACGGCATCCCAGTCCCCCTCGCTCCGCATCATGACCCGCACAAGGGCCGGACACGAGAGGTCGCCATCGCCAAATACATAACGTATAACCACGCTTTTCAATCCGAAACCTGGACTTACAATTTTTCATATTATACGTTTCAAATCACCAACCTGCATAGGGTAAGCGTGGTGATTAATGCTCTAACCTTCTCCATGTGAGAGGATGATAAATATAATATGATAAATATACATCATATACTTATGTATATACAGTCAGTTTATACTGATGATGATAACAATATTTCTTTGTTTCAGTACAACTACCAAAATGCTTGACTGCTGTAAAATACCAAGTGCAATACAAGGCCCCTGGACCCCCACCGCCGGGGGTCACACGGACCCCAGAGGAGATTGAACAGGAGATCAAAATGGTTGAGGCTCAATATGAAAAGTTAGCCATGGTCTTCATTGAGTGAGTATAAATTACCAGGACAGTATAATATGTTTTCCCCGGCCTTTTTTTATTTTAAGGGGGGGAAATCATCGAATGACTTCTCCCGCCTGGGTGATGCGAGAGGGAGTGTCAGACTCTGACTGACTAAAAACCACCCCGTTCCTTCTCCTGCACGTCGAGCCGGAGCCCCGGTAACCCGTTAGGTTCTACGCGACAAACTGGACGGCTAGAAAATATTTTCAGTTGTATAATGACGTTTAACATTGTATTCTTTACTTACAGACTAAACTTGTGTACAAATTATACACTGACTTTTATTATTGTTGTTGCATATAAAATGAAGATGTTGAGATCAAAATGTGTGTCGCGGGCCACATGAAAATGCATACATGCGGCTCGCGGGCCTTTGTTTGGACAGCCCTGGTCTAGTACAGGCTACTTTTATCCCACAAAAGCGGCGAAGCTGTGTGAAGAGACTAGTAAATAAACCTTCTTCTCTTGCAGTCTCCCTCAAAATGTGATGTGGAATGAGCCGCCAGTGGTCTGTCAATGGCACGACGCTCGCAAAATTTGGACGTCCAACTACGTGAACGATTACAAGTTTAATGAAGACAAACTGACTATACAATTCCGGACTGGAGTTCTTTGTGAGTATTTTACATAACATAATATAACATCACGCCTTTTATCCCCGAAGGAATAGGCAGACGTTCACATTATGCCACTGTACAGTGTAACACCCACTTTTCACTGTTTATGTTATGAGTCCCATGTAGTAGGAGGTGAGCCTATTGCCATATACCGGGCACAATTCCAGACTCCGTGCTACTACTGAGATTTTTTTTTGAAAATCCAGTAATACTTTGCCCGACCCGAGAATCGAACCCGAGAGCCCTTGCCTGGTAGTCGCACTTGCGACCATTCGGCCAACGAGGCAGTCTTGTGAGTATTTTAAGAAACTTGTGTGTCATATTTAGGTAGGTAGGTAGGTAGGGCAGCCAATGGTTCTGATGGTAATCAATCGGCTCCGTCAATGGATACTTACTACAGCAGAGGAGTTAGAAGTGCATTACCAGCCTTTGAAGCCTCACCAATACGGCCAATCAGAGTCGACCGCAGCTCCAGAGGAGTCCAAATGGCGTACCGTGCCTTGCCCCGTATAAAAATTTGTTTGAGGGCCCTTATGGAGGGTAAAAATGTATAAAATTAAAAGAAGTATTTATCCAACATCGTTTAACCAAACTTAAAGATAAAGATATTTATTTAGTAAAACATGAGTAATTACAATGAAGGTGTTTTTTTGGTTAGTACAGAGTTTACATGTTTTGCCATTGATGGCGTACTAAATCAATCACTATATCAATAAATACAAAATCAAATGTCATAGTTTGAATGAAAAAAAAAGTTAATTTATAATTTAAATGAATAACAATAACAATCGTATTTCAAAAATCACAAGTTTAAATTATAATTATGAATTTGTGAACAAAATATGTCAAAATTAATAAACAAGATGTCATTATTATAGAGGTAGATATTATAGATAATAAGATAATAAACAATATGTCCACATTCAGGCTAAATTAAATTATACTTACAAATAAAAAAATATAAAAAAATAATAGAAATAAAAAAAAAAAACATTTTTTTTCGCCCGTATCGTGGGTGCGTTTACAAATGACTTTATTTTATTTTTAGTTTCTACCATCTTTGAACGCATTTTACGCGGCAAATAAAGTAATTTCTGAAATAAAATGTTTTTTATTAATTTTTGCTTCCGCATGTTAGGGCCTCCGTAGCTCGGGGCCCGTTGGGCTCGCTGCCATCGCAGCGGTAAGTCCCCTCTTTGAGGAATGGCTTGAGAGACGCTACGGCGTCCTCACCTACCGCCTGACGCAGGTCCTCACCGGACATGAAAGTTTCGGGAGGTATCTGTGTCTGATGGGGCGGGAGGAAACGCCCGGGTGTCATCACTGCGAGGACCGCCCTGAGGACACGGTGGAACACACAGTGGGAGAATGCCCTGCGTGGGCTGAGCACCGCCGTGCCCTCAGGGAAGTGATCGGTGATGGCGACCTCTCGCGTCCGGGCCTAGTGCAGGCCATGATGCGGAGCGAGGGGGACTGGGATGCCGTCTCCTCCTTTTGCGAAGCAGTCATGCTAGCTAAGGAGGAGGCGGGACGCGTGAGGCAGCGAAGCGCTGCCTCCTCGCAACCCAGCCATCGCGAAGGACACACCGGGCGTCGGGGATCGCGGGACGATCTCCGGCCACCGTAAGCGCGGGCCTGCGGACGGCGAGCATGGGTGGCTCCCCGTCCGACCAGAAACAGACCCGAGCGTACGGCGCGTCGCGTTCCGCGCGCGCCTCAAAGAGCCATCAGACCACCACAGATGGGGCCCAATAGGGCCGATGCCGATTCGGAGTCGCGGAGAACCTAACGGGTAACCGGGGCTCCGGCTCGACGTGCAGGAGAAGGAACGGGGTGGTTTTTAGTCAGTAAGAGTCTGACACTCCCTCCCGCCTCACCCAGGCGGGGGCAGTAAAAAAAAAAGCTCGGGGCCCGTATAAAGGATAGCAGATAAGGCGCCAGCTACACCAGTGTACTACGCGCATCGCGCATAATCATAGTAAAAAACCATGTCAGCATTGTTTGACTAGATTTTCTGTGAGGCCCTGGTATCATACTGGTCGATATTTTGTGAACATGATGTTTTTGTTTCCAGGGCCTATTGGTATCGCGACCTTGAGGTACAGTAACCTGCCGTACCAAGCGTGGGATATTAAACCGGATCCAGATGGGTGAGTAACTATCTGATAAAACCTGATCGGATTTTGCTTTTTTGATTTTGATCTACAGGAATTTATCAAGCACGCTTGCTCAATGCGAGTTGCATTGAGCGCAATGAAGGTTGCATTGAGCAAGGGTGGTGATTAATGCTCAAATCTTCTCCATGTGAGAATAGTATCTGCCTACCCGGCAGATACTATAGAACGCCAATTGCTACTATTGTTACATACCTCTTCATCATCAGTTTTTTTATGCATGATCGTCGATCGATTTTTAGCCTGTTTTACTTTTCGAAAGCATATTTTTGGTCGATAATTCTTCATGTTCTTGCTTATTATCTTCTTTATCCAAAGCTTCTTAGGGTTGGCACAATATATTATTATATTCTTCCATTCTCCTCTTTTATTATAACATCTGATTTCCTTATTAATATCATGAACAGCCTATAAGTAGCCACTGCTGACTAAGGGCTTCTTTTCACATAGACAAGGTTTGAGCATTAATGACCACGCTTGCTCAATGCGGGTTGGCGATTTCAAACTTATAGAAGTTACAAGTCCAGGTTTCCTCACGATGTTATCCTTCACCGTTTGTCAGTGGTGTCTAAGTAGTCTTAGAAAATGCATAACTCAGATAAAGTTACATTGGTATTTGCCGTTGGTAGGTTTCAAAACTGCACTCTCATACTCTTTCAGGTATGAGAAGCGGGCGTCCTAAACCTCCGGGCCACCACGACATTCATTAATTTCATTATAATTTTCTTTTCTTTTTGAAATTTTGCATTCTGTTCAGACGCGGCGTACTGATCACGGTGACGGGTCTCTGTGTGACCGTCACCTTCGTCTGCGTGAGTAACTGGGTGAAGCTGAAGTCTGTCGCCAACGCCTCCACGGCAGCGCTGTCTGAACACTTCAACAAGCGTTACTCCGTGAAGCAGTTGGTTCGGGTATGTTAAGTTAAGCTTCTTATTTTGAGGGGGGAAAATCATCCAATGACTTCTTCCACCTTGGGTTAGGCAAGAGGGAGTCTCAGACTCTTCTAAAACCACCCCGTTCCTACTCCTGCACTTCGAGCCGGAGCCGCGGCAACCCGCTAGGTCTTCCACGGCTCCGTATCGGGCGTCAGCATCACTGAGCGCATCTGTGGTGGTCTGATGGCTCTTTGAGGTGCGCGCGGAATGCGAATGTTAAGTTTAGGTTTTAAAGAAAGAAGAATGGAAAATCCATTTCTGTGAATTGGGTGACATGCAATAGGCACAAAAACTAAGAGAAATCTACTCGGAAATTAGACCGCATATCGGTCGCAAGTGTGTCTATTGAGTGGAATTAAGGTGTACTTGCTTCGGCACGAATGCCTCACAGAAAACCGACGTGAAGCAACGCTTGCGTTGTTTCGTCGTGTGAGTGAGGTTACCGAAGGCCCAATTACCCTCCCCTTCCCCAATCTCCCCAATTCCTGAATCCCCAACGATCCTCAAACTCCTAATCCCCAAAAGGCTCGGAAAAGTCTGTTTTTAAATGAGATTTTTTCGAGTTTTCATAACTTTTCTATACGTAATTATCTACACGGAGCCTGGAGCTGTGACCAATGTATGGTTATAAGTCACTCTCTATTTATACAAGAGACTCCGGGACATGGAAAGACCGAAAATGACAATACTTTTTGTCAGATCCGAGTATTGAATCGAAGACTCCTTGCTCGACGGCCGCGCTTGCGACTGTTCTTTTTTTTATTTGTAGACTTTCAAAATCGCCGTTTTGATTTAACAGAAGTAAAAAATTAGACTAAGAAAGGTACTAAAATTCTTTATTATTTAAATTCTGCATAGGTAATTAATATCCACAGATAATGCGCGAAGCTGCCTGCGACTTCTTCCCGGACTTCGACGGCCACAACCACGTGAAAGGATCGTCTCCCAAGGAATGGGTGATGGAGAGGCACACGTACCATGCCATGGCATTCCTATCCAGGGCTTATAACTTCCAGTCTAGCAGGTATGGATATGACGGATAAACTAGCTACCTACTCCCTTGCAATTTCACTCGCTGCTCAGCTTCTATTGAAAGAAAGAAGAAAGAAAGAAAGAAAAATAATTAATTCATCATTAGGCACCCACCAAATATACAAACATTAAATAAATAAAAAAATAGAAAATTATAAAACAATAATTACATAAAATAACAATAAAAATAAACAGCAGTGTAAAACAAAAAAAGCAAATAACAATATAAAAAATAAAATATACTAGCAACAGGGTGGCAACATGCCTATGACGAAAGGGCTCGCCAACTCAGTTTGAGCTGGGCACAGTAAGTACCCAACACTGGTTTTCAGTTGGCACCCCTGCAGCGTCGCACGGACGGAAGCAACGAAAAATAATGAAAAGGAAATTAACACGATTATTGATGGTGTTTCAAAGCCTATAAGACTTACGTGATTAAGACCGTAATAAATGAAGTAGGTACCTAAGCAAATAACTGTAAGCAATCAGCGCCGCCCATGGACAGATGGTGTTGCCGGACTTTTGGGCGTTAGGGATTTGACTCAAACAAAGGAGAGGAATCAGGCCTCCGCTGAACTCAATCTCGCGCCGTGTTCACCCTATTTTCTGAAACAAGGCCCCGATTTTCCGAACTCTTAAAAAAAAGTGACGTTACGCATTTGTTTATTTTCAGATGGAATCAGTCAGCAGGCTACCGTAACATCGTGGTACAAAGCAGAGAGAATGTCGACATGAAACGAGCGGTATGTATCGAATAAAGACAAAGATTATTTATTTGCAAAAACACGTGTGAAATAATAATATCTACATCATAGAATGCACATTATAAGTTGTACAGATGAGCAGTGAGCATAGTATCAACATGTTTGACCACTTCTGGTGTACAAATGTGAAATATAATATTAAATCTAATAATAACATTAATTAAAAGGTATACATACATTTCTGCACTACCCAAAGGATGACTGGCAGAGAATGCTGTTAGCATTAAGTCCTCCTTACTTATGCAATTGTATAAAACTTAAATAAATAAAAAAATAAAATAAACTTTTGAATTGTAACATTCCTATAAGAGACTCAAACCTACTGACCGATAAAATAAAACGTTGTTAATATTATAACTAAAGAAGTAGGTATGTGTTGATGGTTGTAGGTCTGTCTGTAGTTTCTGTGTATCATGGGTCAAAGGACAAAGACGAAAGTTTATGAACTGGTGGCTATAGTACCAGTTTGATTTACGTTTAAAGTATTCGAATCGAGTACGCGTTCAGCACTCTGATTGGCCGGCGCCAATGAACCAACCAATCACAGCGCCGAACGCGCACTCGTTTTTGTTTTTTAAACTGTCAAACACCAAACGGTCACCGGTGACCGCAACCTATTGTTCTATAATTGTGTCTACAAAACCGGTACTCGACGAGTTAAGGAGGGAAAATCATCGAATGACTGCTCCCGCCTGGGTGAGGCGGGAGGGAGTACCAGACTATTACTGACTAAAAACCACCCCGTTATTTCTCCTGCACGTCAAACCGGAGTCCCAGTTACCCGTTAGGTTGTCCGCGACACGCGTACTCGTTACGAATACTTTGAACATAAAACAAACTCTAAAGCCTCTGGTAGGTAGGTAGGTATACCTATTAAAGTGCCTTTCCACCAGACATGTGCTATGCTACGTTGCTGGGGATGCATTTGGTCTACCTATTATATTTAATAAACATAGCACAACAGTGGTTCACACATATTCAACTAAGACATGTTTTTATACGGAATGATTGGTGGTATGGGTATGTGGTAGGGATACGTGTCGCTCACGGCCGCTTCGTTGCCGATACGGAGCCGAGAACTTGGTTTGACTAGGGTTGCCGGGGCTCCGGCTCGAAGGGTAGAAGTCGGAACGGGGTGGGTTTATTCAGTAAGAGTCTGACACACCCCGGGAGGGTGTGTCTCAAAAACAAAAAAATTGCTCGAGTTATCTTACTCGCTAGATAGCTTAATATCAATGGAACAGTCACATAGTTTCACAGCCTAGCTATTACATCCTCGTAGCATAGGTACATAGCACATCTCTGGTGGATACACAACCTTAGGATGGTAGTTTTGCAAACGCGACTGCTCAGTCCAACTTTAACAAAATATTAGGCTATTCATTATAAAATCGGCAACAGCCCTATTGGGCCCCATCTGTGGTGGTCTGATGGCTCTTTGAGGCGCGTGCAGAAAGCGCCGTACGCTCGGGTCTGAAATGATGCCTAGAGTACCAATGACGATAAAAGAAGCTAGCCCCATATCACAAAATAATAAAACTCACTATTTAGGTACAATACCCAGGCGTTTTATTGTTTCTTTTTAACTTTAATTTTTCAGTCGAAACTCCAACTGATGATGATAAATCCTGAAAGAGCTGTGTTATTGAAATGCACGGAGCAAGCAAATGAGATCAACTTTGATTCACAACCTGGATTGAAGGTACGCACCTGGTCTCGTTATATGTATTAGTACGTAGTACTAGTTTTCCGCCCTCAGCTTCGCACGTATGGTGCTGGACCAAAGACCTCCTCTTCAGAGGAGGGAGATGCCATAATTTCCACGCAATGCAGGGCACGGCCATGCAGGCGGGTTCGGAGCCGCGAAAGATTTAACGGGTTGCCGGGGCTCCGGCTCGAAGGGCAGCAGTAGGAACGGGACGTTTTTTTTTCTTTTAAGGCTTTGGCTGCCAATAAAAAACTGTTGAAGGCAAATCGTCCGCTAATTTTGGTCATCAGTGACTGCCATGGCGTTTAACGTGTTAAGGGGAGAAAGTCATCTATTGACTGCTCCCGCCTGGGTGAGGCGGGAGGGAGTGTCAGACTCTTACTGACTAAAAACAACCCCGTTCCTACTCCTGCACTTCGAGCCGGAGACCCGGTAACCCGTTAGATTCTCCGCGACTCCGTATCGGCATTAGCCCTATTGGGCCCCATCCGTGAGGAGTAGGAATGGGGTGGTTTGTAGTTAATATGAGTCTGATACAAAAAAAAATCAAGTGGGTTGGAGACGGGATTAGCAGTTTAAAACAGCTCGTGAGGCGCCCGCGTGCATTTATAATTATTCTTTACTAGTTGACAGTGCAAACTTCGTACCGCCTAAAAAATATTTTTCTTACCTTTTAAACCTTCCCTGGACTTCCGCGAACATTTCAAGACAAAATTAGCCAAATCGGTTCAGCCGTTCTCGAGATTTAGTGAGACTAACGAACGAACATTCATTTTAATCTTGTAGGAGTTGAGCACCAAACCATTGTCGTGACTGCACGTGCGCAGTTCGCGGGCTGCCCGCAAACAACTCGCAAGGGGCAGATTCGCGAGATGTGGACGACCCTTAAGGCGGCCACACAAACTAGGGTTTACATGATGGTTTTAGCCGTGCATGCATAACCGACACGCAAGCACTAGCGTGTATGTGACTAAACTGTACAGTTATCGGTGCGATTATAGGTAAGAAAAAAAAATACACAGTAGGTATAAAATAAATAAAAAAAAATATTTAAAAATAATATAATATTATATTTAAAAATATATTTTTCATTGCTTTTGGCAGTTTGTATTAAATTAGTATCTTTACTAAACAATTGCCTTTTTACCAGAAATTGTCTAAGTGGCGCTCGCGAGTGGCGAAATCGATTTAACATAAATCGATATCGAATCGATAGGTTTACCGAAAAATACTTACGACTTTAATAGAAATGAAGTTTGCCAAAATAAAGTATTTTCGTGTACTTCATTATTCTTACAAAGTATAGAGTACAATTACCTTAAATAACGTACAATACTTTATTATAAAGTACGGGTGGCAACCCTATATGCAACCGAGCAAATATCAAAATTCATATTATATACCGCTCGGTTATGTTTGCGCGCGAGTAAAACCGAGCGTGTGTGGCGTCCAGCGAGCTTGCCTGCCACAGTTCTCGGTTTTTTATTTATTTTCTCATACATACATAACTTCACGCCTGTCTCCCATGGGGGTAGGCAGAGACTAAGGAACGCCAATTACTACGATTCTTACATACCTCTTTCGCTTCATTAACAGTCATCAATCTTTTCATGCTCGTCGGTTAAGGGTACTTTTAATTTGGCCCTTCTTTAATATATCGCCAATCTGGTCACTATATGTCCGTCTAGGGCGCCCTCTACCGACGGCCCCATTCATATCCGCTCTGTATACTTCTTTCGTTACTCTACTTTCATCCATCCTTTCTACATGTCCAAACCAGCGTAACATTCCCTTTTCAATCCTTGTCACTACATCATCTTTCAATCCACACCTTTCTCTAATAACACTATTTTTCACTCGATCACTCAATTTTAGTCCACACATACTTCTTAGGGCTCTCATTTCCACCGCATTAATCCTGCTTTCATGCTTCTTCTGCCACACCCATGATTCACTACCATACATAAGCGTTGGTGTCAATACACACTGCATTACAGCAAGTCGAGCTTTGCTGGATATTATTTTACTCGACATGACAGAGTGTAAAGCACCATTAACACTATTTCCTGCATTTACTATTTACTATTTATTTTCTCAGTAGTTTGGTATTGGCGTCCTACACCCACCGTCACGTACTACGTAGCTCACTCAACTGTAAGTTCGTGGCAAGATGGTGCATGCTAAACCTAACGTGTATGTGTGGTATGAAACTCGGTTATGCTCGTTGATTTTGCATGCAAAGTTATAACCATCAAAATCAAAGTCAAAGTCAAAGCATTTATTTCAATTAAACCATAGTTTGGTACTTTTGAAACGTCAACAAATACAAAATAAATAATAGTCTGTCAGTCAGTCCGTCAGTGAAATTAGGTGAAGCTAGGTACTCATTCCAAAACGTAGATTCGAATGGAGAAGAACGAGCAAGAAACTCCATTCGTTACTCTTTTTAAAAAATGTATGTTCTACAATGTCTCTGATACATATTTCAATACTGTACGCATATGTACATCATGAATAACCTAGCGTGTATAGCCTCCTTTAGACCTTAAGATAACACCTAATATCTTAATATTTCAGTTCTTTCCCGGAGTCTTCACGTTCAACATGCTCTACGGGTCAGTCGACGCACGGAGAATGACATTCAATATGAAATTCAAACTTGTAGAAACTGTCTTCGAACTACTACAAGAAATTAAACCTTGTAGTTACTCATAAGATGAATTTAAGTCCCTGCTAACCGGACTCCAAGTAGTCCAATGTATATGAATAACGAATTTAAGTGTAATTTAATTGCTAATACGGCCCCAAGTAAACCAGACGCCTTAGTACGAGTTTGTTGTACGTTTAATCGAAAGGAGTATGCGTACGGCACTCTGATTGGCCGGCACCAATGAAGCAACCAATCAGAGCGCCGAACGCGTACTCGTACGAGTAAATCAAACTCGTACTAAGGCCTCAGGCAAGGGATCCATGCAAGTTTGGAAGTGAATATAAGTCAAACTGTCAACGAGGCCCCAAATAAAACAGACTTATCAGGGCCCCTTACTCTTAGACTGGGCCCCAACGCAGGGCTGTCACTAGTCAATGTTGCCAATGAAAAAATATTATCTATCCGTGTTTTTATTTTCATTTAGGTAAGTTTTTTTACTGTACTGAAATTGATTAGTAAAACGTTTCATGAAATATCCATTTTACTTATACATAATGTAAATTAGATGTCGCTAATTTTGTGATTATTCAATAATATCTATTAACCTACCATTCATTGTATATAACTGTCTAATAGTATGTTTCTTTACAATAGTGTAGTTGCCTAAATTTTATTTTAATGTCCGTCTGTTAGATTAACTAAAATCGCGGGTTACTCACGTGAATATACTGAGAAAAGCTCTATTAGTTTCGAACCAGCAACTACCTCTAGTTCTTCCTCATGAGCAGCATGCGCGGTCGCGGCGACGTCGCTTTTCTCAATATATTCACGTGAGTAACCCGCGATTTTAGTTAATTAGACACGTATTTTTTCTTTTCTCACAAAATTAAATACTTTCGACGATATATTAATTTGAAATATCGTGTGACGTAACGACCTCCCACTCCTAAACGTAACTCCATTTTATCGAAGTATTGTAACTTTATACGAGAAAATAAAAAAATACGTGTCTAATATTTTTTCATTATCTAACTGACGGACTAATTAGATTTTTAATTTTCATTACCTGGCAACTACTCTATTACTAAAGATATTATCTACATTGTAAATAAAAAATTAAATAAGTAATGCATATACTTTATTTACCTACTACCTACTTCACAACCTCTGCTCAGTGCCTATTGACCGTAGCGTGATGTTTATAGCCTTCCTCTATAAATCAATTATGAAACAAAAAAAAATTGTATTGGGCCAGCAGTTCCTGAGATTAGCGCGTACAAACAAAAAACTCTTCAGCTTTATATGATAACTAGCTGCTGCCCGCGACTTCATTCGCGTAGAATACAAGTTTTAGAATTTCATGTTTTTTGTTTCCAAAAATAATACATTAACATAACATCGCTCGCGCCTTTTATCCCCGAAAGGTTAGGCAGAGGTGCACCTTATGCCACTGTGCAATGTAACACCCATTTTTCACTATTTATGTTATGAGTCCCATGTAATAGGGGGTGGGCCTATTACCATATACCAGGCACAATTCCAGAATCTGTGCTAGCTCAAGTTACTACTGAGATTTTTTTAAAACCCAGTAATTCTTTGCCCCCCCTGGGAATCGAACCCGAGACCCCTTGCCCGGCAGTCGCACTTGCGACCACTTGGCCAACGAGGCAGTCAAATAAATTCCAAAATAATAGCAGCCTATTTTACTCTTTAGTATATCATCTGCCTGCCAATAAGTCTTGCAAAATCGGTCCAGCCTTTCCAGAGATTAGCTAGTACACACGGCTACACATCGAGCTTTCCATAACCAGTATAAACTGAACGTTAAATGTGCGGAAAGGTGATGCAACGCGACACCAGGATAAACTGGTTTTGTATAGGTTGATGTGATTTTTTTTATTTTGGTATGTGTATCGTGTGTATATACATATGCGTGTAGTAAAAAGCAGTTATTTTATTTAATATTACAAACACACTCCAATTCTATTTATCTGTATAGATATAAAGTAAAATTAAAGATAACATGATGATCCATAAGAAATGAATTGTTCAATTTTGACCACCTATTGAGCATAATTTTCCAACAGTGGCGAAGCGTATCTTGGCGGGGCCCCATATAATAATTAAATAAAATATAAGTACTAATAATTTGTGTTAAAACCGGAGAACTTTCCAGGTCGAGTCAGGCCTCTACCCAAATTATCGGACAATGATTACTTTAGTTTTTCCAAACTTTCTGCCTTGAAATAGATTTTCTTATTTCATGGTTTCTGCGAACCTTTGAACGTATGCATTTTGTGATTACTGAAATAAAATATAAATTGAGAAGTTTTTATATTTTTGCTTAAACACGTTGGGGGCCCCCGTAGTCTGGGGGCCCCGTATACTTGATACAGCAGATGCGGCGCTAGCTACGCCCCTGTTTTCCAAACTAAGTTTAAAGATACGGTTTTATCAGAGAGCGCTGCTGCCCGGTCTATCAATGTGTAGTTCCTCAGACGGTTGTTACTATACCATTAGGCAGATTAAACCTAGAGATCGCCCTAGACGAGGACCTTCATAGACGACCCTATCGTTTTTGCCGCTGTATCTTTATAGGTAACTAGCGACCCGCCCCGGCGCACGGGTGCAATATGCATGTGACATAACATAACCACGGGGTAGGCAGAGGTGCACATTACGGCACTTAATGCCACTGTACAATGTAACACCCACTTTTCACCATTTATATTACGAGTCCCATGTTATAGGGGGTGAGCCTATTGCCATATACCGGGCACATTTCCAGACTCCGTGCTACTACTAAGATTTTTAAATACCCAGTAATACTTTGCCCGACCCGGGAATCGAACCCGAGACCCCTTGCCCGGCAGTCGCATTTGCGACCACTCGACCAACGAGGCAGGCAATATGCATGTATTGACATATAAACCTTCCTTAAGAATCACTCTATTTAAAAAGAATCGCATCAAAATCCGTTGCGTAGGCAGTTTTAAAGATCTAAGCATACATAGGGACAGACAGACAGCGGATAGCCACTTTGTTTTATACTATGTAGTGATTGAGCAAGCGTGTCTCGCAGCACCCCTCTGTATCCTGGCGCCCTAGGCAAGTGTACGCACTTGTTGTGTTTGTTTCTACCCACAGGAAGAACAGGGATAATGACAAATGTTTTCTTTCCAGTTGTTATTTTTTTTTATACCACGGCGATGGCAAAAATAGAACACTGTCCACCTGATGATAAGCGGTTACCGTGGCCTATGTACGCCTGCAACACTTGGGGCATTACATACGCCTTGCAGTCCCAAAACTTATTCACTCTCTTCTTGAAGAACACTTACTTCAAGCAGTGCGGGTAAAATAGGAAAATAAAACAAAAATAATTTCTATATAAACAATTTATACTATTTTTATTTATCGGATAAAAAATAACTAAAAACTACTAGTAGTAAAAAAAGAATACAACGCGACTTTTCCTATCAAATCATGAACATCGTAATTTTTTACAAAAAAAAAAGAATTTTCCATTTTGTTTTTCGAATTTTTTTCACGATTTTTTTTGCATTTTTCGTTTTTTTTCTCTCTGTGTTTATTGGCAGTTTGGTATTTACAAATTTCTATAATAATCTATACTTTTATAGTAACGGGCCTTACCTTTGCGTGCGATAAACATCGATAAAACATATCGACGATCAGAATATTAAATTACGTCAAAATAAAAATGCGTCGATCGATGCATCGACATATAGTTGTGTACTATATCGATAAAATGTCAAAGCCGTCGATATCGGTTTAAAAATATATAACTATCGACAGTGTTATTAGCCAATTTATATTATTACTTAATTTATTGCTTAGATCATAAACAGCGCACACAAAAGTGAAGCATTCATTTTGCATTAATGTCAAAGACTCATGTTTTTGATAAAAAATATTCATCGAGTCTATATTTTTGGGCCAAAACAACTTAAATACTTAATTCTAATGTGGCTTGGGGTCGAAAGCTGCGTTAGATTGAGATGACAACTTGTATAGACAATTATGTGATGAAATATAATGGTATCCTAAGCCCCAGCCACGACTAATAAAAATAAACATATTTTCAAAGCCACATTAATGAAAAACAAATGTTTAAATGTGATTTTGTTTACTGAGAACTGACTTTTTATCACAAGCGTCATAAAACAAATAAAATCGCTTACAAATACATTTTAACATGAATACACGAATCACAGTCGATAAAAAAAAAACAATTTTTTAAAAGTCAATCCTCAGACCGCCTTGAAGTTGGCAACGCGTTCAAAAATAATAAATGTGAAGTTAGTCGCAATTGCCAACTTCAAGATAAAAATAGAGAAAGGGTTTACCATTTGTGTTTACGTTTTTTGTGATTAAAAATAATGTCAATTTTTTTTTATTAATTTCTTTTGACATTATACGAGAAGGTTTATGACAGAAATTAGGGTCAAGTTTTGAAAATTATTAATAAGCCCCCCACCTTTTGAATCGACCCCCTAATTTTGACATCTCTTTTTTAAATCGACCCCTTAATCCCTCTCATAGATTTAAATAAACTAATAAAATTTATGGCGAAACCCTTTCTCTTTTTTACGATTAATTGTAATTATAATTAATAGTATAATAATAATAATAATTATAAATGTATAATATACTCCATGAATTTTTTATGGATTCTAAAACATATGACTTCCATATATTTAAATTCAATGGATTATAGAAATGTAGAGCCCTCTGAATGATAAAAAGCAGGAAATGTTTCCTTTTTAAAATTAATAACTAATTTAATATGAAAGATAAACCATTTAGTTATTTTACTTAATATATTTACAAGGATAAATGATTAAAAGATAAAAGACATTTACGTTACAGGTGATCATTACTTTCTTTTTAACAAAGTAAAGATAAAAGATAAACATTATAATAATTATCTTCACAATTATTGCGTACAAGTGCTTGATTTTTTTTTTAATTTTTAGTCACAATTTTTTTTACTAAAATTGCCGTTTTTCAATACCATCAATTGATTTTTTTAACGTCATTATTTTAGGGGTCGACACCTTATTTTTAAAGGGTGATTTTATGAGCATATGTTACCCTAAATTGGGGGTGCAATTTTGAAGTGATTTAAGCCCCCAAGGGATTTTAGACCCCTAGTATTAAGCGTACATCAAGTGCATTTAATTAATAAATACTTACATAAATACAGATACATTTATTAAATCAATTTTTTTATACATTTTATAATCAAACTGTACTTTTTTTTAAACTTTATACACACGAATAACGTTGTTATTACAAAACATAAC